TCGAAGTGTTTTTGGTACAGTTTAACAAAACGAGTACAATAATGTTTATTTTTCACAAATCGTATTCTCTTCGTAGAAGCGTTCCACTACATAGTAATACTAGTTGACTATCCAAACCGCGTTAGGTGTAGTAGGATAGGAACCTCCAACCTGTTGTTCAAAAAGAAAGTGGTTTAATTACCAGACTATATGGATGCACCTCATTATAAGAAATTGTACATTATCGTATAACTAACTAGCTTACCGTACATCCGTATTTTTCATCTTTGTCGACGATTAGCTCTTGTTTTTTTTCACGAAACGTCCAGCTGCGATTCATGGTATGATGGTGAGGGTCGACTTCATATGGCAATGAAATTTTACCTTGAAGGCAATTTGGCATCTGGTGTAGTTCATCTCGAGGTTGTGGAAGTAAGTTGTCTTTATTATTCAGTGTAAACAAGTTGTCCAATATCAACGTTTATCCTTAATCTTTTCCAACTTTAAATGTACTATTGGAAATGTTTGTATCTCAATTTATTAGGTGAAGCATATTCTTATCTAAAAGAAAAGAACACTAATATAAGATTTTTCCAAATCTTAAGTGAATAAATGTCCAAAATAATGAGCAAAATGTAGGCCCTAATAATCAATGACCTCTTATGTTTATCCTTAATCATTTAATAAACATTTGTTAGGTAAATCATGCCTTCACGGTTGAGTTATTTGCATCAATAACAAGTGTTATCTTTGTAGCAAAGAGTTGGCGTACTTTTACAAAGCATCTGAATAGATTCCATTAACACTATTTTCTATTAATTTGCGTTGTTTCTGTGAAAACATACCTTTGGTGTAGGAATCTCGTAGATGTTATTAGAATATGTACATCTGATTGAAATGAATAACACTATTGCTTCTAGACTGCAGGCAACCGAAATGAGTCGATAAATCTTATAAATTCATAGTTCAGTCTAGCACAATTGTTGGACGTACAAAGTATCCAGTTTGTGAAAGGAAGGATGAGATGGGGTACTGATGAATGGTGGTTCTCAATCTATCATCTGAACATGGCGAATTCGATATGCGACTGATTATGAACTCGGAATAACGCAACTCACACAATATGGAGCCTTCCTATTCATTTATCAGAGCACTAATATCTGAAAATCAGTGGACAAATGAATGTAGACGAGATTCATACACTGAAATTCCAAATTGATCGATGTGTAATAAGCACAGTCATGGTGATTCTGTTCTTGAGTGGACATTGTCAACAGTATTAGAAAGCTGATAATAATGATTGTGGTAATAATCATACTGATACTACTATTAACTATGATGAAAATTATGGCAGTGACATTTGTTAAATGAATCGTATTCGACATATGCGACAATAGGATTAATCTGATATTCATGTAGTCAAATATATACACACACACAAACATATTATTTTTTGTGATTATCGAGTCGAATCATGCACGCTACTATAAATAAATTTGGTTTAGCGAACAAAGGTGGAAACTGCTGATCAGTACATTTATTGACATTATTCACCTAGTAAATCAGTGTTCTTCTGTATCAGATGTTAAGCATATTGTTTACTTTCATTTACTCAAAAGTAGTCAAAATATAAATTGGGTCTCATAATTTACGATCTGTAATTATATGTAGTTAATTGTATACAGACGAACATGAGATGAGCAATCGGTCAACTGTGATTCTACTCTAGATATGTTGATGATGCAACTATTGTGAAACAATTCACAGCCTGGCAACTTTCGACATTTTCGACATGTTAATTTTTGCAGCCAGGACGGCCAAGTGACCTTGTTACTCAAATACGGCTGTCAAGTACATTGTACAACAAATAATTTTTAGGAGCTCACATCAAGCCTAGTGCCTTATGTACACAAGGAGCATGCAGAGTAGCGTGAATAGGGAGAACTAGGAAAGAAAATAACAAAAGAAAAGATAAGCTGACTATCCGGCAATATCCAATATAAAGCGATTGATTTCTTTGCACTCGATTATTGTTCTTTCGGTACGGTTTCAGGTGCTTGGTAGTATCCAATGAATGAGAGTCTAGCTACTCGACTGTCTAATTCTAGTCAGTTGGCAATTGTTTGTGAGTTTGTATGTCCCGTGATTTGAACGAATACGTTTGTTTCAGAGTAGTAGGGTTTCTGAATACCAACAGTTATCACATTACCAGACCGGCAATCAGTTAGTTGCAATGTGGAGAATCATAAGGATAATAAGGATAAAATTCTAATGCTAATATGAACAAAATTTCAGAACTAAGTAATATGTAGACGATTTAGTTTATTAATTGATAGTGAGGATTATGAGAGACGACCAAAGTGTAAGCAAGGGAGAGGAAGCAGAGATAATAGACGAGATAGACTAAGTTGGTGATCTGAGGACATGGCAATGATAACAACTAGCAAGTCTGAAGACATACATCAGGCACATCTTGTTCATGAGGGATATGATAATCCATATGTCAGTATGTGATCACCAAGTCTTTGCTTAAAGCTGTCTACTGAGGGGGCTGTGGTCACCTCGGCTGGGAGAGCACTCCAAGTTGCAACGATTCTTAATCAGAAAAAGTGTGCATGAACCTGAGTATTCGCTCTTTGATGCGCAACTTTTCGAGGATTGCCTCGAGGGAAGTGGTGGTGATGCATAGGTAGGGTGCTCATGTTGGGATGGTTTGGCGTGCTTAATATGTTGTACGCCACAATCAGGTCACATCTGATTCTCCTGTAACTCAGGGGGAATAATCTCAAATGCCTGAGTCCATCTTCGTAAGGTTTGTTCTCCAGCCCTATCACCTATTTCGTTGCTCGTCTGTGCATTCGATCCAAGACATTTATGTCTCTTTTAAGTAGAGGGGGTGCGATGACATTGTAAACCTCCAGGTGTAAGCGCGCATACATTTTAAATAGTGTTGAGAATAATTCTGGGGTGATAGCAACAAGTCGTCTTTGCGTAAAGTGAAGAGTCGCATTTGCCTTGCCTGCGTTCCCTACACAGTTTGGACTCGTGTGGTGGCTTTCTGTGGTTTTTGAACCGAGATCATGCTCTAACGAGACTTTAGGGATCGGACTTCCATTGAAGGTGTAGATCGTTTGTATCGCGTGAAGCAGAATATGCATGACGTGGCACATCGGTTGGTTGATAAATGGTTCAATAGGTTGATCCGACGAAACCACAAAATCTGAATGGGAAGAAAAACAACAAGACCCTGTGGTATATATTATCCGAAATAATAATCATACAACAATTGATGTCTCGAATTTGCGACAAGTTAGTGTCAGATGTCCCTTAATTTGTCTTTGAGATATTGGTATTTTACATGAACCAGCCGGTGAATTGCAGGTAATCGTGAGAAAACTTTAATATTATTAGCAATAATGATGCTAACCTGGTCACCAGCAACACTTGATGGACCTGCTTCGACTGAAAACTAAATAAGACAAAATTGTCATATCACAGACATTCGAACGATACGACCAGTACAAGTATGATGAGCTGAAATGAGAAGACCGATTATGCAAACAATATCACACAACGCAATTGTAACATACAGCGAGAGATCGCATTGTGGTGTGACAAATACAGTTGCATAGTTTTCTATGGAACTAGTAACCGCATCTTTAGACACACTTGTTCACAAATGAATTCACCTGTTGAATTCTAATTTCGCATTTGTAGTTTTCCTCAAATTTGTGCTTCATTCCACAAACAACAAGAGAAATCTGAAGTCAAATTAATTGATTTTTCAGACATTATACTAAGTGCGAACAATTTGTCACATATACTATTTGAAAGAACACATCGTGTGTGTCATACTTTCACTTCAATAGCTTTGTTCAATAAGCAATAATCCATCAACAGTTAGAAATCTGTTGAGCCATGTGTGAATTTATGCTCACAAGTTGATTGAGGTGTGATCACGTGTGTGTATGTGGAACGACCAACGTCCACTATAAATACAACCATACAATGAATGCAGTCAACAATCGAGTTAACCACTCATCAGACAACCGACAAATTCAACAATCCCTTCATCAGAGAAACACCACAATGCGATTCCTCACTGTAGGTTACAATTGCGTTATGTGATATTGTTTGCATAATCGGTCTTCTCATTTCAGCTCATCATACTTGTACTGGTCGTATCGTTTGAATGTCAGAATCCAGGTTAGTCTCATGTTTCTCGATGCTGGTCGATTCCAGTTGATTTTATTGTATGAAATGGATACAAACTGACATAGCCTCAGAAATTCGTAATATATTTGTGGTGGTGTGGTTTAGTGTAGTGTGATGCAGTGTTGTATGTGCATGCAATAGAGGCATAATTTGTTTACAATAATCATACTTTGCTTGACTTTCATCTCGATATCTTTTCGAATTTTCAGTTGTTGCAGGTCCATCTCAAGAAGAACTGATACTCGCCGGTCTCGGAGCTGGTATTGACTTGGCTTCAGCTCAGGCTGGAGATATTCCTGAAGGATCGTCTGAGAAACCTGATCAAAAGTCGAAACCTTAACGCTAGCCTCTCAAAAACAGTCATCACAAAAATGCCCTGACCAATGATGTAGCTCCCAACTTCTCGACCAAATGCACTTACGTTGTTCCCAAATTTTCAGTGTTTTTGTTTACTCCACGAATCGGTTAATAAGTAATTCTCTGTCATTCGGTCACAAGCACATTTCGTCTCCGTCAATCTGCATTCATTAGAGTGACTAATCTGATATCTTGTTTCTCCTGATTGTCGTATAACTTGTGCCAATCAATAAGAAGCTTTAGAAATGTTGTGTCGTACTTGTTAAGGATAATCTACAGCTACCTCTGTGACCTCAATGTGATGAAACTGATACTCGCATCAATGAGGACATATAGCTCCATAGTGTCGTTCTGTTTGTGTCTGATAATCAAACTCAAATACGTGTGCTTTCCATCTGTTATAGGTTTTGAGCGGTTATCTCACTGTAGGTTAACACTTTTCTACAATTTCAACTTATACGAGTTCTCCACAGTAGAACAGCTTGGTTGAGCACATTAAAAAGATGGTTTTGGGATGTCTCATTCTGTGTAGTAGTCGTAGTAGTATTAGTAGTAGTAGTAGTAGTAGTAGTCGTAGTAGTAGTAGTAGTAGTAGTAGTAGTAGTAGTAGTAGTAGTAGTAGTAGTAGTAGTAGTAGTAGTAGTAGTAGTAGTAGTAGTAGTAGTAGTAGTAGTAGTAGTAGTAGTAGTAGTAGTAGTAGTAGTAGTAGTAGTAGTAGTTTTAAATCTGTACAAGCAATGTGTCATTAAAAATACTCAAATAAATTTGTATGCGAGACATAATATACTTGAACAATCCCGTCTCTAGCAAGTGTAGTCTCTGTTACAACTCAAAAGCATTATAATATCAACTGTAATCGGTGAGCGGTTACGCATTCCAACGGTACAATTAGTATTTGACAAGAAGTGATCTTGCCAACAGAGGATTATAATTCTATCCCAAAAAGGTGAAAAACTCAGTGATTAAGTGGGGCAAAAGAGAATTGTATACTGTTCAACATAATGAACATTTCGAATGCTTAAGAAATCGAATTTCCATTATGTGAGGCATACATTTGGTCAGATGAACCAAATGGAATCAATGTAAAGGACGACTGCTTACTATAACAATCGCCAAAATGCAAAATCTCAAGTTAAATAAGCGTGAAACAATAGTCGAAACCGCGACAGTGTTCAAGGATTGACCACTCTTCAGCAATTGCAAAGAGTATGATAAAATGTATTGAAAATAAACTTGAAAAAGAACTAAATATCCATAAACACATTGAACAACTATAGAAACTATCCACCATCATCGGATAGCATTCACTAAATACTTCTCAATGGAGGAAATTTTCTTTTCAATGACAATATTTACTGAAGCTATGAAATCGAATTCATAGGTTTTTTCACAAGCTTAGCGAAGTTTCTGATCATTCCACAAGTTGACAGGTTAAGCATATATAATGTTTTCAAATGAGGTTCGAACATCTTACCGCTCCAGCCAATCAGAAAACGGAGAGTATGTATCATTAATTTGTAACGTTCTTAATCCTCTTAATGTTTCTTATCGTCGGGTTTTGAACTAAAATCAATGTTTAAATTAAGGATTGAGTGTCGTTTCATATATGGCACAAAACATGAACCTAACCTCAATCATAATCTCCACTTCTCATCGTGAACCGACATCTACCTCGAATACAGCCATAATTATAACTTCACTTTAAACCAAAATCAAATACAAATTAACCCTAACTAACATTGCACAGTAACATAATGTCTCGTAAGTATTAAATGACAGTGAGTTTTTCACCCCCAGTGATACGTGTAGAATCCGAACTGAGGTTTAGAATGAGGAATAACTGTCTAGGTAGTTTCGACACGCCCCTTGCCCAGCTGAAACCAAAACAGGTTATTTGGTTAAATGATGGTTCTATTATTCATCATAAATAGAAATATACATCACTACCTAAACAAATATGTGGTGTTGGAATGAACGAGGGACTTCTTGGTTGTTGTTGAATGCCTGATTTCGAATTCTAAATACAGTACATTCTTTCGTACTTATCTAGTAGTTCTTGATCTACTGGGATTATTAGTTAATGCTATAATTCAAATACTTCTAATTATCACAAAATATTACCACTCAGTCATTCCACCAACAACAGTCCAATTAACCAAGTCAACAGCAACAAATAAATGTTATTCTATCCATTCTGGATAGATGAGATTCCTTCAAAAGATAATATTTGATCGCTTTATAACAGAGTGTTTCCTATTCTGGAAAGGTGCTTCAATGCACAATCAAAATCCACAATTCCAGTCAAGGCAAGCGACACAATCAAAAGAGGAACAAATCAATATGGCTGTCGCCATGACTAAGTATCAGCTTAAACAGCATAAATGCAGTTCGGAAAGAAACATAGAAACTATAATAAAATACAAATATTATCATCTCAAATGGAATCGAACAGACTAACCAAATGTACAACTGGAGGGATCAATAAGAACGAATTACAAATATATACATGGAGAAATTTTCACAAACAAAGTCATCAAAATATGGATCTAACAATACGTTTGTAAGTAAAGCCTTCAACAACCGGCATTTGTGTACTTCTTTTAAATTCTGTCATGACATTTCATCTGATAAATTAGGCAGCTTTAAAATGATAACTATTGGTTATTATTTGATGTTAAATGAAATAAAAGGTAAATATTCCGTCAATGTTCACGTTTTCTCCAAAATATGAACGCTGATAACTTACGAAGTACTAGCTCTATCTTGTCACGGTCACCAATAACTTGCCCTCAGATAAGTTGTTTTCCTGAACGACCACGACTAATTCTCAATTTCAGCCTTCACCTACTGAAAGTCTACTGGACTGTTTTTCGAGCGAATGTGCATCGAAATTCTGAATAAAATTTCCCTGAGTATGAAGACAATTCACGGACGAGTAAGCTGACTCAGATTTCAAAACCGTCCAACCTCTACTGATCTCGTTGACAGCAGCGTTCAGTGTTTGAGACTTCGTGTACTAACCGTGCTGGAAGCGCCCGAATCCGCGAGATATCTTTAATATGAGACACAAAGCGTCCTCAGAAGTTAATACTCCAGGTAAGCAATTTTCTTATCTCCATTGTGAATGTTAGCTGATTATGCCAAGCGACAAACTCACATCATGTCACGTGGTGGGTATTTTGGATTTGTAGTCGACGAAGTAAATGATCAGCAATTTTTCACTTTGGGCTACACAAAGAAAATGTCATGGATAGTTTGGTTTGCACAACGCTTTTTTCTGTAACACATTTCAGATCGAGAATACCCAAAGCCAAGTCAAATTAGAAGTCCGGAATGAGAGACATCGGAGTTATGTTTAGACAACGTGAACTAAGCTGCTGAACAACCTTTTCGAAAACCCAACAACGGCTGCTGCTGCAGAGGTGCACCAGGTGCTGAGACAAACCACCAAGTGCCTCTATAGCAACGTAAGAGGACTGAAGGGTAAGCTGTTAGAAATCGGGAATATGTGCTCTCAGATGGATCTGAAGTGAGCTTGCAAATCATGACACTCTTCCGAAGCGATAGAGTACACAAAACAGGAGGTGGAATGGCTACATATGTAAACAGCCACTCAAAAGACGAGAGACTTAAAGTCACCCAACTAACTGTGGTGAAAGAATCATATTGGTGTTGTTCGGAGGATTAACCGACCTCCCTCAGGTACTAAGGCACAGAAAGACAAACTGAATGAAGCAATACTGCAACTGCCACTCCCCGAGTTCGGTCAGATACTTTTAACTGGAGATTTCAATACGCCATCTCTAAATCTCAGCAATCAGGGTACAACTCCCACAGGCTGGTTCCAAAGACAAATTGGCGCAGCCATTAGAAGCTCTGGGTTGACTGAGCACGTATGCAGTGCCACTAGATGGACCAACGAAGGAAAGTCCTCAAACCTGGATTATCTGTTAACAAATGACCAGCTCCTGGTTGAGGATGTTCACGACCGCGCACCAATAGGTAGTAGTGACCGTCACACAGTCATGCGTAAAATGTCCATCTTCTCATAGCTTGTGACAGAAGGACAAACGTCATCGAAACCCATCTACTTAAAAAAGACACAAATATCTTGGATCGAGTGCAAAGACGAGCAACGAAATAGGTGATATGGCTGGAGAAAAAACCCTACGAAGATGGACTCAGGCAGTTTGGATTATTCCCCTGAGTTACATGATGCTGATGCATATTGACTGCAACAAGGTCACTTTTCATCACTGCTAATTTGGTGAATTAGTATGTTTAACAGTGTGAAGTATTGTGATTTAATTTGGTTCAATACATTGTGTGTTGATTTAGAATAGTTTGTAGTCATAATTTTGTCTTCACAATATCCCAATTGATATCTTTCTTTTTTGACGATTTTGTCTTATTTCGTTTTCAGTCGAAGCAGGTCCATCAGATGTTGCTGGTGATCAGGTTAGCATCATTATTGCTAATAATATTAAAGTTTTCTCACGATTACCTGCAATTCACCGGCTGGTTCATGTAAAAATACCAATATCTCAAAGACAAATTAAAGGACATCTGACACTAACTTGTCGCCAATTCGAGACATCAATTGTTGTATGATTATTATTTCGGATAATATATACCACAGGGTCTTGTTGTTTTTCTTCCCATTCAGATTTTGTGGTTTCGTCGGATCAACCTATTGAACCATTTATCAACCAACCGATGTGCCACGTCATGCATATTCTGCTTCACGCGATACAAACGATCTACACCTTCAATGGAAGTCCGATCCCTAAAGTCTCGTTAGAGCATGATCTCCGTTCAAAAACCACAGAAAGCCACCGCACGAGTCCAAACTGTGTAGGGAACGCAGGAAAGGCAAATGCGACTCTTCACTTTACGCAAAGACGACTTGTTGCTATCACCCCAGAATTATTCTCAACACTATTTAAAATGTATGCGCGCTTACACCTGGAGGTTTACAATGTCATCGCACCCCCTCTACTTAAAAGAGACATAAATGTCTTGGATCGAATGCACAGACGAGCAACGAAATAGGTGATAGGGCTGGAGAACAAACCTTACGAAGATGGACTCAGGCACTTGAGATTATTCCCCCTGAGTTACAGGAGAATCAGATGTGACCTGATTATGGCGTACAACATATTAAGCACGCCCAACCATCCCAACATGAGCACCCTACCTATGCATCACCACCACTTCCCTCGAGGCAATCCTCGAAAAGTTGCGCATCAAAGAGCGAATACTCAGGTTCATGCACACTTTTTCTGATTAAGAATCGTTGCAACTTGGAGTGCTCTCCCAGCCGAGGTGACCACAGCCCCCTCAGTAGACAGCTTTAAGCAAAGACTTGGTGATCACATACTGACATATGGATTATCATATCCCTCATGAACAAGATGTGCCTGATGTATGTCTTCAGACTTGCTAGTTGTTATCATTGCCATGTCCTCAGATCACCAACTTAGTCTATCTCGTCTATTATCTCTGCTTCCTCTCCCTTGCTTACACTTTGGTCGTCTCTCATAATCCTCACTATCAATTAATAAACTAAATCGTCTACATATTACTTAGTTCTGAAATTTTGTTCATATTAGCATTAGAATTTTATCCTTATTATCCTTATGATTCTCCACATTGCAACTAACTGATTGCCGGTCTGGTAATGTGATAACTGTTGGTATTCAGAAACCCTACTACTCTGAAACAAACGTATTCGTTCAAATCACGG